ATAGAGTGAATAAGTGATAATCACTGACGCTTGGTGTTATGAAAGAACAGAGTATTGAATGCAACAGTAAATAATCAACAGAGGGTAGCTCGTGTATTCAATCTGTTCATTTAATGCTTCTTCGCGCCTTTTATAGTTGAGGTAGTTTAGTAACCGTTAGACAGAAGAGCTTCTAACTGTTGAGAGTCCGGTTGCGTGTTTTTCCAGTTGCAACAATTTTTGCCATTAATGCTTCTGACAAAGTAGGTTACAGGCTACTTGGACAACTGTTGGAGAGTCGTTGAGTTTTTCTTCGTAATCTGCAAATATACATTGATTCAATAAGTTTTTTTCTTAGCAGAGTAAGATCAAAAGTAGAACCGAACAAATAATAAAACGAACATTCATAGTTTACAGTTAGAATCAATCAATAGGTAAATGTGCTGGGTAATAACTGATCGTGCTTGATCGAAGTGATGTTCGATTACTGCTTGATCGATCAGGTTATCGATTATTCTGAGTGAAAGCTTTTGAAACAGATAACTGAGTTTATCGATCAAGTGATGGATCAATGATTTATTGATCAAGTGATCGATAAAAGGGAATAGTGACGTCATACTGGTATGCATAGAAAAAGAAGATCAAGGTCACTTTTGATTTTACTACAAAAAAATTGACTTTCAGCGGCAACAAAAAGTCACCACTGAAAGTACAAAAGTCACCGCTAAAAAGTCATTGCCGTAGCAGCTGTGGCTGAAAACTTTTAACGGCTACTAAAAAGGTCGTCACTGAAAAATACTTTTAGTGGCGACTTTTAGAAGTTTCAGCGGCGACAAAGACACTTTCTGCAGCAACATTTGTCGCCAATGAAAACACTTTCGGTGGCGACAAGAATGTCGCCGTCAAAAGTGTCTTTCGACTGTGACATTCTTGTCGCCGCTGAAAGTAATGCCTAAGAAGAATTGGCTTTACCAATGCCACGTCATCACCGCCATCCGCCACATCATCACTAGCCACCTCCACGTCATTGCCACATTACTCCTCCCCGCCACGTCATCGTCCAAATATTTTCACCTTAAATATGTCTTCTTCAAGATTCGAACTCGTGACCACCTCCTTTCGTGTCCAATCTTCTTGCCGCTGAGCCAGATTGAATTTGTTTATTAATATTGTAAAATAAAATATATAGTATTATATTACACTTTCAGCGGCGGCAAAGAAAGTCACATTTTTGGCCGCCGCTAAAAGTCTTAGTTTCAGCGTTGAACTTTCAGCAGCGACTATTTTAGTCGCCGTTGAAAGTCCTCTTTCAGTGGCAAACTTTCAGTAACGACAAAAAGGTCATCGCTGAAAGTCCACTTTCATCGGCAACATTTTTCTCACTGCTGAAAGTCTTAGTTTTAGCGGTGACTTTTTGGTATCGCTGCTGTTGTCGCCACCGAAAGTCGTCACATAAAGTTTTTTTTTTTGGTAGTGTTTTGAAACTCTTTAAATAGTGAATTAAGACATTTATGAAGGCTAAGAAAAGCTCGAATGAAATAGATAATAAATTTTGAAAAACATCGAGACTAGTTAAAGTTTAAACTGAAATTGCCTCATGATCGAAAAATTGATCGAACACTAGTTGATCGATTGGGTTATCGATAAACAAAGTGTTATAGAAATAAGTTTTGAAGCACTAATTTTCGAACACCTTATCGATAAATAGATGATGGATAACCTTATCAATAAACAATAAGCAAAAGTATATTTAATGAAAACACAGGCTATGTAAGTTGATCGATAAATGGCTTATCGATAATGTTATCGACAAAGAGGTTTATTCTTGTAAAATTAAAGAGCTGATTTATCAATCACGTTATGTGAAAACAAAAGAAACATGAAGTGGGGTGATCGATAATATTATCGATAATCTAATTATCGATCCGGTGATCGAAGAGCCATGATTTAACAATGATATGCTGATTATCGATCATGTGATCGATAATTTGCTGATCGATCAGGTGATCGATAAGCTACTGAAGTAAATACCTGCACCCAGAGTTATGAAGCAGTGTTCGATCATATTATCAATAAATGGTTGATTGATAATATGATCGATAAATGGTGACTAAAGCAAAACATAGAATGAGTAGAGCGTATTACCATTTATCTGTGTTCTCATCGATAATGTGTTTATCGATCATGTGATCGATAAATGCCTATCAAATTTGTATCCCGATATTCAGTCATCCTGATTATCGATCAAGTGTTCGATAATTTACTCCAGACTTTCATACACAACTAAGTTAAGAATGATCGATCAATTGATCGATCGACACATTATCTAACACGTTATCGATCAAAGTTTCTGCTAAGTTACTTAATTGTATAGAGATATTATCTATCAGCTTATCGATAAAACCTCGATCTATCAAATGATCGATCAACATACTGAAACACAAATTACTTACTTTGTTACCATCAAAACCTTAATCCTAACAAATGATAGGAGGCAATATTGCTATAATTTTAGACTTTTGAAGCAAATATATATCCAAAAAAAATTTCTAATATTCAATAGTTCTAAGTGAAAACTTTCGGGCAAATTTACACTTTAGGTCCTTAGCCCTTAAATTAACAAATCTTATATAATTTGAAATGATTCCAAAATCTAATGGAGTTTTTTTTTGGCCAAAACGGAAAGAATTAATCTATTTGCACGTTCATAGATAATTTTGCACCTCCGAAAAGCATAGTGTTGGATGCATTTTGGCTAAAAGCTTATGAATAGTTTTACACTTTTACCCTTTTCTTTGAGTTAGGAGTATTTTGGTACTTTCATGATTTTAGCATAGGTTCCACAACAAAAAGTAAAGGCCGTTATGTAAATTTAACAGTTATGTCATTTTTGCTTTAATTTTGCAACTTTGTAAGTATCTGGGACCTTTGTATAATTTTTAAATTATGCAATTTTGACTAAATATAACTTAATTAGTCAAAATAGGCTTTTTATTCCAAAACAATTCTTTTTGGGGGCGTTTTTACCGCTAATACCTCTTTTATAGCCTTAAAAATACCTTAAAAACGTTCTTCCCTATTTTTCTTGAATTTGTGAAACTTTTTTTCTGAATTTTCAGGCATATATGTCATAATTATCCCTTTTAGACTGGAAATTTTTAAAATTATGTTTTCATCCCAACTTAACTTTTCTCTCATACTTTCAATCACTTTGAACTCTAGCATCTCATTGAGCCCATATATATATATGCCCTAACTTTTCATGTTTAATCGGTATTTTAGATACCGATATGACAGAAGCTAAGTTTAGAACATTCACCAGAATCTAAAACATTGGGGAAATCCAAAAAAATTGCAACAACCTCCCAAAAACTAGAGGACAAAAAATAAACACCCACGTACCCTGAAAAGAACATGAAGGAAAGGTTATAACTCATTACCTTCCCAAGCTCAAGAAGATGGCCAAAGAAAAAGAGAAACCATTAGAAGATAGTGAATAGGAGGAGGAGGAGGCAATCACAGAGCTATGTTTGGAGGCAAATGAACATTCGAAATCTGATCTTAAATTAAGCATAAATTTTGATGTTTCAGGCAATCACTTTTAACTTGACGGTTTTCAAGCGAAAGATCAATAACATTAAAAGACACAACCATCAAATACATACAGATTTATTTTAAAATAAGAAATACTACCCCTAGTCCTTAATATAAGATCTAGTTACCAATTTGAATAGATTAAGAAAATCAGTTAAGTTAGTTATTTGCAATAAATATGTGTTGCTTTTTTCTAAAATATCCTTGCTAATCAAATGTATTGATTAGAACTACCATTATTATAAAAACTGCCTTAGGAAAAAAATGGATGAATAAGAGAGACAAAGTGGATTTGGATCTTATATTTAGAATCAAAATACAAAGTCAAACAAGCTCTTATATTAAGGGACAAACATAGTATTTAATAAAATTTGACGGTTTTATGATTAAATCTCAAGCTTATTAACAAAATTATTTAATGGGTAGCATAAAAACCGTCAAATGATTTCTCTCCTATCATCTGCCTCACCTTGTTCCACCGTACATACATGCGGATTGTTAGTAGTGAAGACCTTTGTGATGAACTATACTTCTTTTAGTCCTAAATATAAGTGTTAGTAGGAGAGTTAATTTGAATTTTAAATATAAGATTTCAATCCACGTTGTTTTCTATATTGATTCTTTTTTTTTTTGTTGCAAATAGTCCCAATGGTGATTGCACACATTAAATGGTTTTCATTATAACATACAAATTAATAAGGGTATTTTAGAAAAAATAACATTAATTTATTATAAATAACTAACTTAACTAATTTTTTTAATATTTACAAATTAGTTATCTAATTCTTATGTTGAGAACCAGAGGTGGTATTATCTTTTATATTTCTTTGTCCATCCACCCGTATTTAGCCATTCTTTGTCTAGGATTCCCTAGCTAGTATTGTTTTCTTAGTGTCGTGTTTCGTTTTTTCCAATATGAAGGTTTCATAAATTTTTATTTAAATCCAATTGGGTGTCAAATCATTTAGAAATTTTAGAATATTAGGAGATACTGTTTGGTGTAAGAGATAGGCATTAGGATAACTCTAGTGTGTCAGCGCGCGCGCGCATGCATTTTGCCTATTACGCTGCATTATTTTTTTTCACTGGTAAATTGTGTGATAATATTTTATTTAATTGATATTAACCTTTCTGAGGAACTTACTTTCTAGGCAATCCAATTTGGTCTGTTGGCAATACTCAGGAAATAAAATAGTAATTAGTTAAAAAGAAATCGCTTAATTATTTCGTAATATTGCTCAAAATCGCTTAAAATAAAATAATCCGCCAAGATAACAAAGCAAACGACATCATTATTTATTCAAAACACATAATCATAGATAACTTTGCAAAAGCTGATTTATTTAGAGAGCAATATTAGGGAGAGCTCATTAACCAGTATCAGCTACATTAACATATCAAACACCAACATCTGCATCATTAATCACTCAACGGACTACCTTCCGGATATGAGGCACAAAGGTGGATGGCGGGGGCGCAGGCCGCGGCGATAGTGGTTCGAACACAAGGGTGAAATTTTTATAGACCCCATCAGGACAAAACACCATACGGTAAAAGTCTTCATCATGTTCGTAAGGTGTGATCATAAGAGGATAATCATCTTTTCCTTCAAATTTGAAGTTAATATAATACTCCTTGGCCGAATCATCAGATTTGGCAATGTCGAACCAACCTGGCATGGTTACAATATGATTGGTTGGACCAATCACCACCGGGTACTGTTTGCCGCCGGGGATCGAAGCATTCCACTTGCCTGGTTCAGCACAGTAAGGAACCTCAGCGAATTCGAAGCCTGTTTTTTCTGCCACCTTGATAGAGACATCATCGCCATGTAAAATCAAAATCTTAGGTTCAGAGCCAATTATGACGGTGGTGGGGCAGGGATCATCCCCAACCTGATCGATTTCAATTCCACGGGATCTGTTTTTGGCATCCAGAATGTGGTATCCCTCCCCAGACACCACAGGGTTGCCATGGGTGTCATACGCAATTTCCGCACTAGGGTTAGGTGTTGAGTGGAGAAGGAAAAGAGAAGAAGAAGAAACAGAGCAGAGAATGCAATCTTCATTGTTGAAATAAAGAATGCAATATGATAGGAAAGTGATGAGAGGGTGTGTTATGGAAGAGAGAGAAATATGATAGAAAAGTGAGAGGGCGTGTCGTGGAAATGGAAGCTTGCATGGCTTCTATTTATCGAGTTTAGAAGGCGAAGGTGAGGGACTAGATTGGTTGCTCGTCACTTTTACAAGCACTCCAAGCAAATTAGCGATAGATTTTAACAACAGAATTTACAAAATCTGTCAAAAGAAAAAAACGTCAATAATTTATTAACCACGGAATTTTGTTGCGAAATTGATAAACGAAAAAACTTTGATGGTTAATGTGCGGTTTCTTATAGTCGATTAAGACTATCCAGCTAAAACCTGTGGTAATGACAAAAAACAAGGGATTAATTACTGTAGTAGTTATTGAAAGGCTGTAATAAACCAGCATGAGCTCCCACGTTGCGTTGCATATGCCCCACATTTCTTTCTTTCTTTCTTTTATTATTTCTTTATCTCTTGTTCTAGGAATCAATCACCGAAACTTCAATAATTAAGGTTGTAACCTCAATTATATGATGTGCGTTTCAGACCAAAAAAAGAAATATGATGTGTTCTTTTTTACCTCGTACGTTGTTCTCTCTTCCGATTTCATTTGGCTTCCTTCGTAACTGCTGTTCACTTCAATAATACTACTTACAGCTCTGTAAAGCTAAATGTCTTATATGTTACGTACTTCATGCACAGAGTGAGAGAGAGAATGAGTGAGAAAAGATGAGAGACAATAAAGGAGGAATAGACGAGAGAGACATTGATTAACTAATCAGAAAAAGGGGAAAATAAATTAAAATTTTAAATAAGTTCAAAATCTAACTTATAAAAAATATGTTCTCTATCCAAAAGAGTACTTCTTTGGTCCTTAATATAGAATTTAATTGTTGAGTTAGTTTTGGTCCTAAATATAAGACCCATTTCTCATATTTATCAATTTTCTCTAAATTACCCTTATGATACTCCTTCAATCATAATCAAGTAGAAGAGGAAGAGAGGGTATTAAGAAAGATGATTATGGTATTTTAGGAAAACATGTGATATTTCTTATAATTAACTAACTTACCTAACTTCCTTAATCTAATCAAATTAGTTAAATGGGTCTTATATTAAGGATTGGAGAAGTATAACTTTAGGAATAATAATAACTGAACTCGTGTTTTGTTATTTTCTTCTTCCAGAACTGCAGAATTTGGAACACTTTCTGCTTTGAAATTTTGCAGTTACGTTACTGTGTTGACTTGGCTAGATTGGACTGTGCTTTAATTTCCATCATTAACGCGTTAGTGACTTGAACTTAACGTGTGATTAAAATAGCACAAAATATATATATGTATTTTTTTTTATGAAGGACTGAATATTATTTGTTTAAAACGAATTTACCAAATAGATATCAACAGTACAGAATATATGAAGATTTATAAAAATCGCAGTATAGACATGTGTGTGTGTATATATATAGTAGTGTTTTCAGCTGAAAGAATCGGATTTGAAATATTTTAAGCAAACACAGGTGATTATTTTTAAAATTCTGAAATCTTATAATGAATTATTCGTAAAAACATGTTAATAAATTAATAATTGACACTGTTCTAAAATTCTGAATCATAATAAACAATCACAATAAATTAAAGAATAAAGAAAAGGTAAAGGAAATGAATTTCAAAATTGGCTAATAATCTTCCTCTTTGCCTTTAAAAAGCTTAGACAGGGCTCCAAATATGTCAAAGACAATTCTTAAATACTCATGATAGGATGATTGGAAGCCTATTGAGTGGTGCTTATAATCATATAAACATTTAGGATTCGCTTTTTACAAGGTGCTTCACATCTCCATGTCTTTACTTTTTGGGAGAATTAAAATTAGGTCCCAATAAAAAGATTTAATTACTTTAAAATCTATTGACAAGTGAAGAGTAAACAGTGACAAGTTTCAAACTAAGGAATAACAACAGGTTCAGCCAGCTTACTTGTCATTAAGACTGTTTAGTAATTAAATTCCTTTCTTGGAACCTTATGGTAGTTCTCCCTTCCTTTTTCATCTTCGGAAAAAATTACCAACTAAAAATCCCATTCTCTTATATATCCACCGTGTCTTTCCTTTTCTTTTTTCATCTTCAGAAAATTTTGATTAAAGATCCCTGCTCTTCTATTATTGTCACATAAGCTCCTCTCTCTTACCCAATATTTGGTATGAGAGAATTGTAAGAAAAAGAAACGACTGGTAGGCTTTTGGCCAAGATGGCGGCTTAAGTTTAAGCCGGATCTTTCGTACAATTGCACGTTTTTATCACCCCAGCTTTTAGATGGATGTCTTAATCAAAACATATTCATATCACGGATTCACAGTATCAATTATTAATCGACTTAATTAAATTTTTGTAGTCAATGAGTGGGCCCTTAATTAACAAGATATACCAAGGCCCTCAATTAACCCTATGTCGCAGTGTTTTTTTAAACCAAACTTCATCCACGTTTTATTTGTTTATAGAATTTATAATTTTTTGTCCTTTTAAAACCATTTTTTGCATATTATATTACATAATATAACTAGACGCTGTACCCCGTGCATTACACGGTTAGATTGATCACTCATAATTCAATTAGTAAGATTTTTGAATTTATTTTGGCATGATACAATGTGTTTTTTAAAATATATTAAAAAAATACTTGATGTCATAGTAATTAATGCATTATAATTATAAATGGATATATATATTTATAGTATATTTCAATGCCTGATTGACATCAAATGCCAATAAATTTTTGTATTAAAAAATATCTCATCAGAAATTAAAATTTAAAAGTTGTGAAGAAATTAAATGATGAGAGACTTCAAATACAGTAGCATGAGTATGATATTGTACATGATATGCATTCAATTTGATGATCCATCGACTGGAACATTTCCATTGGTGTCCTTCTAAAAAATATCACTTATTATCATTTCATTTCATCTTAACAATATCCAGTTAATCCCTTTCATATTTTATGATATCTCAATAAATTAGAATATTCAAATTACCTTAGCAAATAAGGATATGTAGGTAATTCAATTTTGATCTTCTATTTATAGGGCATTTTAAACACATTTCACACAAATTAAAAAAAATTTTAAACCGCATTAACTGTTACTCTTGTTTAAAATATGACAATTTTTCAGCTTTACCTCTGTTTAAGATATACACCTTTCAAGAAAAACTAATTATCTACACTACAATAGATGAAGAACAAAATAATATATTCATACTAAAATTTAAGGAACAAGAAAATTTTTTTCTCTCTGCCTTATAAACAGGACTAGCAGAGTACCTTCGAAGAAAATAATTAGGATTTAATGTAATCTAGATTAAGATTTAGATTTAAATTTCCCGTTTCACAACATTAAATATTAAAAAGTGATACAATATTAAGTATTAATTCAACATTCCAGGTGTGAGATATAATATACATCACAAATATATTAAGTGATGGCTAAATAAACCCCACAAACAATTGAGAGATTTCCCAAGCCTATTAGGAGGAAGAGCTCCTTGAACTTATAAGCTCCACAACACTTGTAAGATTCCTTAATGTGGGACTCATGACATCTACACCTGTGGGTATTATAGTTTTCTGCTCATCGTTTTTTTCTTGTGCCAGTTTTCATTGAATTTTTGACCACCCTGAATAGTATAGCAGTATGAATTAAAGCAATGAGAGACTTCCTTTTTTTAAGAGCAAATGAGAGATTTGTAAATAATAAATCAAAATAACTATTTATCATCAGATTATGGTGGACAGCGGTGCTAGAAGACTAATATCTTTGATCAACATTAAAGGGGAAAAAATAGAAGTTGACATCGGCTTAATTAATCCTCCAAAAGCATGCTTCACAGTGCACGCACATCACATAAGACCAGGCAGTAGCAACAAATGACAATTTGTTTGGATTTTGTTATCATCACATGTGAATCTTTATTGCTAAAAGAGATATGAAAGCCCAAGCAAGGCACACATGCTTGTTTAAAAATGGGACTTTCATGCATGTTTTCCATTATTTTTTGATCTTTTGAATAGAGTAATACATTATATAGATAACTCAAAATGTTTTTTTATAGAGAACTTAAAACGTCTATCATCTTTTGCTTGATTTTAAGGTTTTTGCATTAACAAATACCTAAAAGAAAAATATCTTGTAAAAAAAGTTGGCTGCATTTCAAGATAGTCAAAACTACTAAAAGAATGTGCCAAGTTATTACACTTCCACTTTAAATAATTAAATTGCATGTCATGCATTTGGCTTTAGACTATTTTTGGTTTGTGTCATTATCATCTGATTCATAATAGTTTTCTCGCACTATTAATGGGTCTTAACATTGTAAACATGGAAAATGTTATTTACTTCATATACATAACAGCCACCAGAATTTTTTTCCCAAGAGAATACGGGGAAGACATGATGCTATGAAAGGAATACCCTCCCATTCCATGAAATAAAAAAGGCAAATGAATGGCAGATAAGTATGTATTTTACATTTCTCCATTCTTATGATTGATATTCATTTTTATCCTTTCCAAAGTGCATTTTCCATCATCTTCATTCTCTACGGGGGGAAAAACAAAGAAAGAAAATAGTGAACCCCATCCTAATTATTGAAGTGGACCTCCACTACCAAGAACAAAGAAAATGGTTATGTTCATTAACATTTAACAATAAATCATGATTACTTAGTGAAAGAATGATGGTGATCAAGAAAAACAAAATAAGAAATAATACATAAAACTTCATGACATATAAATTCAAGGGTTTTGATATTGCCTTCCTTTTGTTTGGTCCCCTTTCTTTGAGCTACGAATTCAAGACTGAGATAGAGATACCAAGAGAGAAGAAGACTTGGAAGAAGGAAAAGAGATAATAGCAAAAAGAACATAAAATGAAAATGAAGAAAGATTGAAGCGTGAGAAGAGAGCACACGGAAACTTGGATTTGGTAAAATGACCAATCGAATATTATTGATTCAACTATGAATATTTATAGTACAAAACATGAACCCATAATGGGCTAACTAGGAAGGAACACCGGCCCAATACAACTCATACAATCAGTATCCTTAACACCCCCCTTCAAGTTGGGGACTATACAGATTAATAGTTCCTAACTTGCGTATCATGGCCTCATGATCTTCCCTCCCAAGAGCTTTAGTTAAGACATCTGCTAACTGATTCCGACTATTTACATGTTGTAAGTCAATGACTCCTTCTTGTAGTTTTTCTCGCACGAAGTGACAATCTATTTCAATATGCTTCGTGCGCTCATGGAAAACAGGATTACTAGCAATATATATAGCAGCCTTGCTATCACAATAAACCTTCACCGGCTTAAGCCCTCTCACATCCAAATCTCTAAGCATGCGTGTCAACCATGTAACTTCAGAGACGG